AGTTATGTCGTCTGCGGATGTGTCGCGACTTTCCCTTATAAACATGGCTTTTTGCCCTTCCTATTGCAGACTGACTATCGCAATGTATGCAAATTCCAGACACCGGTTTAGGCCATATAGGAATATTCTCAAGTAAGTTTCGAAGCCACTCAGCTTCTTCACCAGCAAGGTCTAAAGCTATAAATTCAGATTCCATAGTGGATCTTGCAATACACGTTTGCTTAGAGGATTTCCACGAAATAGCACCTCCACCAACAACGAATATATATCCACTTGTGGATTTATTCTCATTCGAATCTGAGATCCAGTTCGCATCATAATATCCTTCTAATACTGCTGGATATCTTGTATAATGCAGTCCATAATTCTCAGTATACCTTAGATATCTAAGGAGTCTAATTATGGCCTTCCAATGATCACAACTTGGATTGCTCGTATATCTGCTAAGTCTATTCACGGTATTAGCAATATCCGGCCTTGTACTATTCATAAGATGCATCAAGCTTCCTATGATTATGGAATATTCTAATTGTTGAACTCCCTCACCGTGATGTTTTTTCAAATGAGAATTAACATCAATTGGAGTTCTGACCACAGAATTTCCATCTTTCTCAAACCTCTCTAAGATTTGTTTTATATAGTGACTTTAGGATAACAAATAACCGTCTTGTGTCTTGATAATTCTCATACCAAGTATTACATCTGCTATTCCCAAGTCTTTCATGTCAAAGTAATTTGATAACATGGTTTTCGTAGATTTAATCACTTTATCACTACTACCAGTGATGATAATATCATCTACGTAAAGACAGATAATCACAAATTCTGTCTCGTTACCTTTGACATATATGCACTTGTCAACCTCGTTGACTCGAAATCCATTTGATAACATTACGCTATCAAACTTCGCATGCCATTGTTTCGGAGCTTGTTTAAGTCCATACAAGGATTTCACAAGTCTACACACTTTTTCCTCTTGTCCGTGCACTCTGCACCCTTCAGGTTGAAGCATTATACTTCTTCTTCCAGTTCACCATTTAGAAATGCAGTCTTTACATCCATCTGATGTAATTCTAAATTATGTAAGGCTGCCAAGGCTATAATAAGCCTTATGGATGTTTTCCGAGCGACTAGAGAGTAAACATCTAAGTAATCGACACCCTCAGTTTGCCTATAGCCTTTGACTACAAGTCTCGCCTTGTATTTTTCAATAGAACCATCCGGTTTCATCTTTCTTTTGAAGACCCATTTATAACCCAATGGTTTACATCCTTGTGGAAGATCCACAAGTTCCCAAGTGTGATTTTGTCGGATTGATTCAATCTCACTCTTCATTGCTTCCTTCCAATAAGGAGCTTCAGGAGATGACATAGCCTCTTGATATGTCTGTGGTTCTTTATCCAACATAAACGTTAGATAATCAGAACCAAAAGAAGTCGGTTTCTTTGCCCTTTTACTTCTTCTAGGCTCTTCATCCTCTTCCTCTAATTGCTTAGAAGATTCATGAATTCTTTGAGATTCCATACCACTTGGATCTAATTCTATCCGAGTCTTGTAGAGAAATACATCTTCAAAAAATGAAGCGTCTCTTGATTCAACGACTGTATTCGCATGTATTTCAGAATTATCTGATTTATACACCAAGAATCGGTAAGCACTCGAATTGTGTGCATAACCAACAAACACACAATCTATTGTCTTTGGTCCTAACCTAGTTCGTTTAGGAATAGGGATAGGAACCTTAGCCAGACAACCCCATACTCTCAAGTATTTGTAGCTAGGTGATTTGCCTTTCCACAACTCATAGGGTGTTTTGTCGAGCCTTTTGTGGGGCACTCTGTTTAATACAAAATTAGCAGAAATCACTGCTTCCCCCCCACAAGTTCTGAGGAGATCCAGAACTTATTAACATAGCATTCATCATCTCTTTCAGCGTTCTATTCTTGCGTTTAGCAATGCCATTCTGTTCTGGCGTATATGGGGCTGTAGTTTGATGGATGATGCCATGATCTGCGCACAATTGCGCAAAAGGCGACTCATATTCACCTCCTCTGTCGCTTCTCAAAGCTTTGATTTTCTTTCCAAGTTGATTTTCAATTTCGTTTTTATAGAGATTAAACATCTCTATTGCCTTATCTTTACTTCTCATTAAGTAGAGATAACAATATCGAGTACAATCATCAATAAATGTAATGAAGTACTTCTTTCCACCTCTGGTTTGCACATATTTCAAATCGCATACATCTGTATGTATCAATTCCAAAGGTTTAATACTTCGTTCAATATTCCTTCGTTCAATATTTTTAAACGAAGACTTAGCAAATTTTGCTTCAACGCAGACTTCACACTTGTGGTCTTTGTCTAATTTAAATTTTGGCAGTAGATTACAAGACATTAATCTTTGCATAGACTTAAGATTCACATGTCCTAATCTACCATGCCATAATCTTGACTCATTCAAGTAAGCAGAAGAAGTAGAAGCTTTATTAATATCATTTGCGGTTATATTGTTTGTCGCATTGGTGTTACAAATGGTCATTACATTCATCTTGAATATACCATTTGCTAGATAACCTCTACCCAGATACACACCATCTTTTGACACTACAACTCTCTTAGATTCAAACACTAGCTTAAAGCCTTTCTTTGACATCACAGATCCAGAGAGCAGGTTCTTGCGAATGTCTGGCACATGAAGAACCTCAGTGAGTGTCAGCTTCTTTCCAGATGTCATCTTCAAAATGACTGAACCCTTGCCTTCCACTTTGGATGTAGCAGAGTTTTCCATATAGCAGCTTTCTCCGGTGACAGTGTCATAGGTGGTGAACATCCATTTGTTAGCACAAATGTGGCGGGTTGCTCTAGTGTCAATCCACCATTCTCTCGGATTATCTCTGACCATATTCACTTCTGACACAACTGCTACGAACTCAGACTCCCCATCTTCTACTTCAACTACATGAGCTTGGGTCTTATTCCCAATTTTCTTCTGGGCACCTTCCTTGCGATGGTAGCAGTCCTTCGCCAGATATCCAGTCTTGCCACAGACGTAGCAATTCCCCTTGAATTTCTTGGAGTTGACATTCTTATCAATCTTCCGCTTCTTAATCCCTTTGGCCTTAGTCGTCTCAACGACGTTTGCCTTGGATCCAAACTGCCCATTCATTTTAAGAATAGGTTGAGACTCCTGCCGAATTCTCACACGACGATGTAAATCCTTCAAAGACATGTCCTTAGGTTTTTGCCTCAGGTCATTCTTGAAACTCGTCCAGGACGGAGGCAATTTTTCAATCAGAGTTGCCACCTGGAACCGTTCATTTACCATGATGCCTTCTCCCGCCAAGTTGTGGAAGATGATTTGCAATTCATCTACTTGTTCCACAACACTCCTTGTATCTACCATACGGTAGTTTAGGAACTTGGCTACCACCATTCGCCCTTGGCTAGCCTCTTCGACCCGATACTTATGATCAATCGTTTCCCAAAGTTGCTTGGCTGTAACATATTTGGAGAAAACACCATACAGTGAATCATCCAAACCGTTCAGCACAAAGTTCCAACACATGAAATTGTTATGTTTCCATTGTTGGCAACTAGCTAGAGATTTGGCATTGCCCTCCTCTGGGATTGGTTCCTCTTCAGTGAGGTACCTTGACAACTTAAGTTGTGTTAAGAAAAACAACATCTTTTGTTGCCAGCGTTTGAAATTTTGACCCTTAAATTGTTCAGGTCTCTCAGCCGGGCCGATAGGCACAATAGGAATTGCCCGGTTTTCGGAGTTCGCAACAACCGAAGGGATTCTTGGTTGGACAACGTTCGCAACGTTTGGCACTTGATTATTCATATATGTGCCAGCAACATCATGATTAACGGGGTTCGTAACCTCCGCTGTATGAGGATTCTCATCGATATCCATAGCAGGAATCTCATTCCCTAGAGCAGTATTTGAATCCATGGGATTTCTTGGATTATCAATCATCTGTTGAATAAATCCAATCATTGTTAGCTTTCACAAAGCTTATAAACTAAACCGAGTTTCACTTAACTTATAAATTGGTTTGGCTCGCGTCCAGTGATAGTCGGAGGGTTCACCCCGATTCCCACGTCCTTACTATGAGGAGGGTATAAAGGGTTTCCTCTTCAAACCCGTCCGGCTAAGACAAAGCTTGCTTCCCCAATTTACAGGAAAAGTTACTTTCGATTTTGTTTAAAATTGTTTTTTCCAAAAATAAAAATATTCTCTTTTTTTTTTTCCACAAAACACTTTTAAATATAAGATATTGGGCTTACTCTTTTGGGCTTTTAAATTAGTGTCATTGAATTGGGCCAAAACAAAAATTTTCAATTTGGACTTACTCTTTTGGGCTTTTCAATTAATCTCTTTGAATTTAATTTGGGCTTCACAAGTAACCTCTTTTAATTTGGGCTTCAATTCTAAATTTGGGCCTTAAACTCAATTAGGCTTAGATTTATTAATATTTGAAAAGAAAACAACTATTTGTTTTTTTTTTCCAACACTTTTTTTTTTAACCTAATTGTTTCTAAATCCAAATTCGTGTGAAGTTTTATACCGAAATTAAAAGAGATTTAGGCACTTACCCGAGAAGTTTGCCTCGTGTTAACCATAATCGAATTTAAGATTGTTGGGGACGGCGGTTGTTGACGACAGCAAAACTCCGGCAATTCGAGCGATTCCAGATAAGTACCTGAAATTAAAAGAATATTTTATCGAGGCCTGTAAAACACAGTTTTTTTAAGTTCGATTTTCGTGGCACCTTTAAAGCTTCGAGGCTATTGGAGCACGGTGAACTCCCAGGATGCAACGACCGCGTATTTGGAAGAAGCTTTCCAAATACCAAGCGAACTCAGAGAGAGATATGAGCAAATATGTGAATGCTCTTTTTTCTCTAGAATGTTTGTTTCTTTTCTGTGTGATTTATGAGCTAACTCAGGACCCCTATTTATAGTAGAAGGGAGAATCTCAAAATAAATCAATTTGAATTTCAAAATTCAAATTTGATTTTATCTTGATATTATCTCAATCTTATCTCAATCATATTTGATAAATTTTCTGCGGATTTGAATCCAATTTGAATTTCAAATTCAAATAAGAATATTCTCTCAATATTCTGCAGATTTAAAACTTTCTACGGATCGGGCTTCTCACGGGCTATGCCCGTTTTGATTCTATTAAATAAACCCAAATCCAACAGCCTCCACATGGCTCGGTCTACTCCTTTGCTATCCGCCGGTGGGAGCTTCCATCCCTCACTTGTGTGGGCTACGTCTCGGACTGTACTATATCTTGACAGGCGTAATAAGCGAGGGCTTGCTTCACCGACATAATCATCGGTCTGGCCAGAAAGACACTAATCTGTCACGGGCTTAGTTCTTTCACTAGACTAATCCGTGCGACACTTAGTCACTTGGGCGATTTCGGGACTAAGTAAGCCTAGGTTTTGTGTGCGCAGCGGAAAAGGAAAGCGATCATGTACAACGAAAGCTTTATTGATCGGGAAATTTTACAAGGCTGGGTGTTTGTGAGTGTACAAGGCGGAGATTGATTCATCCGAATGAGGGGGATGACCTATATAGGGTTCAAAGTCGGTTATGCAGCAGAAACGGACGGTCCAAATTAAGCCGGATGGACAGTCAGGATTGCGCCACATGTCCTGTCCAGATATTTCCTAAGGTCGGCGCCTTTAGGTCGGTCGTCCGGAATTCTCTCGAACTCTCTCGGCCACTCTCGTCCGGACTCACGCGGACGGTTATGCGGAGTCTCTCGAAGTTTCTGAAACTTTCCCGCATGTTCACGGTCATTCCCGGGCTTGGCCACTCGTACGCGTGTCTGGAAGCTTCCAGAACGGTCTGGACGACTCTGGACAGATCCGGGCAAGGCTTGGACGACTCTCCCACACTTCGACTCGCATTTTCTCGGCACGCTCAGTCTCGGACGGTCACGGACGAGCTTTCCCTCGATCCCGGATGACTGCGGACGCAGACTCTCTGACGGTTACGGTACGGAAATGCGTATGCGCGAATTTTCGTACAGTAACAAATCTCCCATTTCCAATCTCGTGTTTGATAAAGTGTCCGGCAATCTCCCTAATGCTTAGGATATTTCGCATGTTCCATGACAATCGAGGTGTTACTGCTGTAGAACCGAAAGCCCTTCGAAAGGCTTTTTGGGAGACACATACTATTGTGTACTTGTGATATAATTAAGAATTTATGAGCCTTAATGGTATTTGGGGGAAAACATATGATTTATACCAATTAGTTAATGGTCAGAAAATGAAATTAAATTGGAACCTATAAAGTTAATTTTATCAGACAACACAGAACTCGTCACAAGTATGAGCTCGTGTATTTCTATGGTCTTTAATATAGAAATCTAAAAATTTTAAAAAATCAAATATACATCTTATTAAAAAATTTCTATATTACGTATTAAAATTTGTTAGTTTATACAATATGACATGTAAAAATACCATATTTTTATTTCAATTTAGAAAATATATATTATATCTTATATAATTAATTTTGATATAATTATGCATCATATTTCAATTACTAAATTTTTATATAAAAAAATCAAATTGGTAATTTACAATATCTCAAATCTAAATTACTAAAAAAAAATTCTATTCTAATTTTGTAATTTATATATGTTTTTCTAAATATTAAAATAGAATATTTTTTTAATAATTTTGATTTATCAATTTTTTTATTAAAATTAATACTTGATGGTTTTAATAACAAATTTAAAGTGCAATTTATTTTTTAAAATAATTTATAATGGTTTTTTTTTGCTAAAACAAAAGTTGATAATTTATTATAATCAATTTTAAGTAGAAGGTTTGTTCAGTATGAGTAGAATAACTAATGTTTTTTTTTTGTTGTTGTTGAGATTGTCAATTTTTTTAATATAGAAACCTTAAATGATTTTTGTATATTATGAGAAACCATCTCATTGTGGAGAAACTTAGATTTCATTTTTGGCCGAGGAGGAGTCCCTGCTCCCATGATATCCTCTAAGTTCATATTGTTTTGCTCCCTCAGTTATCTCATTGGAACAGGGCTCTTCACGAACATTCTAAAGCTGAGGATGGGCTAGACTTCTCATTAATCGAAAACCAATTTTTGAATCTGCCGATGAAACTATACAATAATGAATATATGTATACAGAAGATGTTTATTTGTTCGTCACCAGCGTGTCATCCGTATCCGGCTTTGAGATTTCTCAGACCGTCAACATGATGCTGTCGGAGTCGTAATGGAGACTGCGAATCTTCCCGAAATTTGGACCCTTCATCGGTCTGTCCGGCTCATGTTTGTGTTGGTTGGATTTAGAATTGGAACAGAACACATCTTCAGGATCTTAATGCTTGTTTCATATATCTCAGAGCAGATCGTAACATCGCCCTTGCTTTCTTGTCTGGATTGCATCCTGACATGATCATCTCCTCATACACAGACGGCACCTGAAAAAACGTGATATCGTCACCGTCGAAGCATGGACATCATTTAGGGCTTTCGCTGAAAGGAAGGCAAACCACTGCTACCTTTTCAAACTTATCGACGCGAATCAAGGCTTTCATCAGTGTAGTGTAAGTGACAACATCCGGTTTTATGCCCTGTAAGTATCACACGTCATGCGATTAGTACTTTTGTCGAGAAAATTACCAGCGGAAGCCTAAATAGCAGTTCTTTTACGTTGTCTTTCATGAACTGCAGCACAGCAAAGGCTTCGGCATCTCTTCTGTCCTCTCCAAAGGCGTTGATGAGGGAATTGAGAGCGAGTAAACTCGGCTTCAGTCCATCCGATGTCATCACTCTAAATGCATTCACAGCTTGCTCGGATAAACCCTGCACAAATTCGACAACCATCAAAATCTTCCCGCTATGGTACAAAGGTTCACGATCCAACCATTTCAACCATGTTCAAATGCACCATGCCCGAACAGACAGGTGAACAGGGCTTGTTACAACAATCTTGTGGTGTCCATCCATCCGGATCGGATACTCGAAAAAATCGGGATATTTGGATTTGGATTCGGAAGGGCTCAGATATTTAATTATAAGATTTGTATCTGGGATTTGGGATTTACGAGTATTCGGGGTACGGGTATCCGAAATAATGGTCGGGTACTCGCGGGTATATGGATCTGGATCCGGATCTATTTAAGAAAAAACATTAATATTTATATATAAAATTTTCAAAAAATCAAGATATATTTATAAGAATGGATGAATTACGATAAAAATACGAGATAATAAGAGATAAATAATAATAAATTGTTTTTTTTGAGATAATATTAAAAAATATGAAATTATTTAACCTAAAACAATTATATTTTATAAAAATATTATATAAATATAAGATATAATTATTTATAATCATATTAGTCGGGTATCCGTGGGTATCCAGTTTTAAAAATTCTATTATCCGGATTTGGATTCGGATTTACGGGTATTGAAAAATCCGGATTTGGATTTGGATTTGGATTTGAAAATTACGAATCCCCTAAAATCGGGTATCCGCGAGATAAGTATCCGATGAATACCCGATTTTCGGGTATTTGTGCCCACCCCTACCACCACCACCACCATCTTATGGAATCGTGACTCGTGAAAACGAGTCGTGGTTCGCAAGCTAGCTCAGAACCAACCCGGTTTGGGGCGAACTGATTCACGGTTTTTCTTTACTCGTTTCAAGACTCCTGACAAATCCAGAGCTCGGAAGATGAGAGCTGGCTTGTGAGCTACAAACCCTCAAATTTCCCCCCTTTTTCTCCACGCTTCCATTCCAATCGGGATTTTTTTTCTTACCCTGAGAACCCTTTCTCACTCTCAAAACAAACCCCGTTGGCTACGGCCGTCATTGAAATTTTATCTTATGTAAAGTTTCTTGTTGACGATATTTTTAATCGCAAATGAGAACCCAAACCTTATATAATGTTATTTGTATCATATTTGTTTCCCATCTCGTTTAAAAAATGAGTAGGAGTCGAACCAAATTCAAAATCAAGGAACTCGTGATGGGCCGAACCAAGGCAAGTCAATTCGATTTACACCCCAATTAGTAATCTTCTGATCCAAAAACATGACAATGAGAGAAACACAAAAGCATAAGAGGAAGAAACGTACCCTTTGAGCGTAAGCGTTGATGAGGGCATTGTACATTGTCGAAGAAGGCTTGAGACCTGCCGATTTCATATCATCCAAACAATCAATCGCGTCGTTAAACCTACCGGATTTACCATAAACGTTGACAAGAGTAGTGTATGTCACTGTATTAGGTAGTATCCCCTCTCCATTCATCTTCCTCAACAATCTCTTCATATCGTCCCATCTCTCTTGCTCGCCATAACTATTGACCATGATGTTGTAACTTGTGGAACAAGCCGGGGTCCCTCGTTCCTGCATCGCCTCGAACAATTCTTCGCCTATATCGTGTCGGCCTTGCTTGCAATGGCAATCTAAAAGAGTGTTCCATGTTACCGTGTCAGGTTCGATCCCCTCGCTTAACATTTTATCGAATGTAGCCATGGCATGATCGAGGCAGTTGAACTTGCCGAATGTATCAATCATCACGTTGTAGAATTGTCTATCGGGTTTAACTCCGATGTTCTTCATCTCCTTCAAGACTTGGAATGTCTTTTGCCACTCGCCTCTATCGCGATAGCCAGCCAAGATCCTGCTAAACACAAAGGAGTTAGGTTGTACATTTCGGGCTTCCATCTCTTTCAAAACAATTCTCGCACTCTCCCATCTCCCAGCATTCACATATGCATCGATGAGAAGACTATATGTATGTTCATCCGGGGAAACTCCGTTCCTCTCCATTTCCGAAACAATCAACTCTGCATCTCTCAAAGGACCAGTCTTTACGGATCCTTTAAGCAACGCATTGTAAGCTTTGGTTCTAGGCTTCAAACCGCTTAGTTTCAGCTCCTCGAACAAAGCTTCAGCCTCCATAGTCCTCCCCGAATTCCCCAAAGCCGAGATTATCCCAACGAGGGTCGCAGATTTCGCGCTTAAACCCATTGCTTGAGCCGTGCCTAGAAGCTGCAGAGCACGAGTCGGGTCACCAGATTTCGCGAAACCCATGATCATGTCATTCATGAGCCGTGCATCAATCTCGATCTTGTCACACACGATCTCCTTATATAGTTTCTGCAAAAGAGCTGAATCAATCTTGTTTGTCCGCATCAGTGACTGTACGACCAAGCTGTAGTTGATGAAATCGGATTGAAAACCATCTTGCCGCATCTTCGAAATCAGATTGAGGGCTTTTTCGATATCGTTGTTTCGAGCGCAAGCACCAATCAGGGCATTGTACGTCAATGGGGTTAGGGTTTGTTTCTGAGAAAGCAGAAACGCCTCGTAGAGCTTCTCTGATCGACCAAGCGCGTGGATGAGAATCGAGTAGAGCAGCTCGTAGGAGAAGCAGAGGTTGTGCTTCTGCAACCACGAAACCACGGCGTAGGCAAGAGCGACTGACGAAGAAGACGAGCACAACGATTTCAGAAGCGAGTGCCAGTACGGCGACGGCACCGCGCGGTACGACTCGGCGAGACGGAACTCGTCCGGGTCAAGCGAATCGGGCGAAACAGAATCCGAGGCCGAGTCCAATACCAACTCGGCGGAGCTCCGCTTGGAGAGAAATTCCAGAAGCGGAGAGAAGTCATATCGCCGGCGACTCTCCGGGAAGGATTCAGCGTCCTCTCCTTCTTCATCTTCGCTTGCGCTCAAACCCTTCAACGAGGACCAATACGATGGAGAAGACCCAGAGACCGAAGCTACTTCGGCGGAAGGTGTAGCGGAGAAACCGGCAGCAGCGGCGGAGAGAGGCGGATGGAGGAAGGGGTAGCGGCAAGAGATCGGAGAGGTAAGGTAGATAAAGTGGAAGCGAGTTGAAATTGGCGGAGACTGCAAGAGAAGCATATTCTTCTTCTCCAATGGCGATTGTTCATCAAGAAGAAGAAGAACCAAACATTATCGTTTTCTGGTGACTTGTGGGTTCGGTGTGTGGTGGTGAGAGACTGGACCTCGGGGACGAGAGTATCCGATCGTGTATGTTCCTCGAAGTACTGGATGATTTCTTTTACACTTGCATAAAATATATTATATTGTGAATTTTAAAAAATCTACTACATCATATTAAAAGGGATATATCTTTAAGTATCCTACGCTTCTTTCTATATTCTTAATAATCCAAATTAAAAAAAAAAAAAAAGACAGAAGCGATACAAAGACGACCTTCATACTTTTATTAAAAAATGAAAAAACCGTTTTAAATTAATTTTTTTTTTTAAAAAAAATTCTCCCTTTCTCTCTCCTACATCAGCGCTCTCTCCTAACTCTCGACATCTCCTCTATCTGTCTTTCGAAAATATCGGTTTTTTACCGAAAATTCCTAGGTTTATGCCGTGATTTTCATCTCGTAACTCTCTGTCTTTACTCTCCTCATATTCATAGCACAAAGAAGGAAAAAATGGCTTCTACATCAGTCGTGCACTCATCTTCGTCAGCATCTTCGAACGAGACCGATTTTTGAATCCAAATTGCGGAGTTAAACGATCACACGGTAGGTTACTTTGTTGTTTAGTGCTCTATGATGAACTGTTATAATGAGCTTTCTTATGATACATTTGACGTATTGGCACTTTCTATGATTTTATGGATAAGTGTTTGATTCATTACATGTTATGCATACTTTAATGTGTTATGAAATCCATGTATTGTTATGAACAATACTAAACTCCATAGTCATATGTCATTGTGAGAACAATGATGTACCAAAACTAGTATAATGTGTGATAGATGATCATAGAGATGATCATGGGTATTGGATACGATCACAATCATAGGTATTCGTTGGAGAACGGAATACTGGATTGACCCGCATGAGATTGTCACATGGACTAGCGTCATGACTTGAATCTCATATGACGGTTCCATGATTGGATCCTATGACCTGAGATATCTACGGAATCCAACATGAACAGTTGTGTACTTTGAATACGTCAAACGTCCTGCGTAACAAGAGGATTATAAAGGCGTGTATCAGGTACGACACAAATCATGTGCTGGTGATGCGCACGCACCGAGTTCTAAATTTGTAATCCGATTCGTACCACTAACCGCAAGTATATAGTAGTTGTAGTACCAGAGTCGATCACGAGGACTATGTGATATTAATCTATCTTAAGGCTAGGTTGATGATGGAAATGGGGTTAAAATGATGATGATGATGATGATGTGAACTAAACTAAATGTAAGCAAATAGGAATAAACGGTTAACAATCAATGATTCAAACGTTGTAGGTTCGGGATCCCTTTTGATTTGAATGGATAGTTAAAGATGATATGATGTCTATGATGTTCATTTCCAAATGAGGGATTTCAAGTATCTTAAATAGAGTTTGTCTCTCCCAAGTTTAAACTCACTACCCAAGGAATCAATTTACCCATCTCCCAATGATCTAAATGATCCTTAGATGCATGAATGCTCTCTATCACAAACTCTAGGCAAGCAAAACCATTTCCCAATGTGAATGTCTCACCTATTTGGTGTTTAGTTCCAAACAACACTCCCATATCCCTATGATCAATGTGTTCTAATATCATACTAACTAAGATTTCGCCAAAGTTGGAAGCATGAAGTACAAAACATCAAACCCATAGAAAAAGAACTCATAAAACACCATATTAAGCATATGAATTCATTACAAAAGTGGGGATCCCTCACCCACAACTAAGTTTCTACTCCATGTTCAAAAGAGGGAAACAAAAAGAAACAAAAAAAAGCATGGTAGAGAAGAGAAATAAAGGCTTAGTGTGGTCTTCAATGGTGATGATCTCTTCTTCTCCTCCTTCTCCAAGTCTTCCCTTGCTCCGCAAGTTCTCCTCTCCTCCAAAAGTGGCTGATTTCAAAGTGCCCAAAAAGTCCCCCTTCACTCTTCCCTCTTTCCGCTTTTGTGAAAAACCCTAAAAACTTCTTTATTTTCTGTAGATGGGCTTCTAATGTGGGCCAAATCTGAGTAGATTTTCGTCAGACCTAAAACAGGCGGTAGCCCGTATAAATGAGTGGTAGCTCGAAATTTTCGACATAGCAGAAAATCTGGGCGGCTAGCTGGATTAATCGGGTTGTAGCTCGATTCTTCTGTTCTGTTTGTACTCTTCGCTTTCAGCTTGTTTTGCTCGTTTTTCGCCTCCAAAAGCTCCATCTCACACCTAGTTTTGCACAACATAGAACAAAGGCATACTCTACCCCTAGATGGTCTCTACATACATGGAGTTAGTAGCAAATGCATCAAATATCGCAAAGAAAATGCATGTAAAAACGATGTGATCAGCTGGATTGTAGATAGTCAAGATGAGATTTGTATCTCTCGTAAAAGAGAGAGATATCGCTGGGCCCCTCGTGTGAGCGAGACTGTAGGAATGTGTAGTCGCACTATAGACGAACGTCGTCTATCTCGTACAATCGAACTCAGTGAACGAGAAAATAGTCAAATCAGATAAGGTGGCTTTTCCATGCCTTGTGTTCGACATATGATATTGTGATACAAAATGATCATCAACCGGAATCATCACTGTCGTTCGTAAGATCATGAACAAACTCTATTCGAGATAGGTAGTCATAGTGTCTTGCTAGAGATCGCCTATGACTTGTATAACCGAAATGGAGATTTCCTGGTTATACTGCTATATCGAATGAGCCTACAGGGTCACACACACAGGAAAGGACAAACACGCGAGAAAAAAGACGAGAAAATCCCGGTGGAGCGGAGGCCAGACCGACCGGTCTAGAAGGTCTGGACCGATCAGTCCAGCCAGCCTAGACCGATCGGTCCAGACGTAGACCGATCGGTCCAGAGGTGACGTGCAAATGTTGCTCGGTCCCGAAAATGCTCTAGACCGATCGGTCCAGACGTCGGAATTTCCTTATCTCGCTCAAATTAGGGTTTTAAGTGCAATTAACCTTGGGGAACGCCTCCTAATCTCTTGAGGACGATTTCACAGACTTTTTGAGAGAGTTTGGAGATCAAAAAACCCAAAGTAAGATCCCTGAAACCCTCGAGCAAAGAATGTTTTTGGTTGAGATACGTTCAGGCTGCTAATGGAAGTCAAAAGTGATTCGCTTGATCTAGTCCAAATTACTAGGGATGAAATCAAGCTCATTGTACTCTAACTTGTATGGTTATGAGATCTCCTACAAACAATGAGATTTCTATCAATGAATAGTCCTCGAGTCGAAGCATATGCGTAAATCTCTCGATGTGCCCTTTCAATAGAATTTTTTTACTTTTTATGTATTTATCTCGTGCTTCTAGGACATTGAAATTGACACGGCTCTTTATTTGAGCTTTCGTGCCTCACAACTTAGATCCGAGCCACCTACGCTAGTGTACTCATGTCCTCGAATGATTTTCATTAACGAGACAATGACAGAGGAGTGTCAGGATGATTTTTTTTCTTTTCTTTTTTCTCTTTTTTTTTTTGAAAATAGAGTAAAGGAAGATTCATGGGCATATGATTCTTATTTATGTTCCGCTCGATTCCTAAACAACGACTTATCTCACGTGCATCTCGGGTTTCTCAAAACCATACTCGCTATTTCCGCCTCTCTCGACAATCCATCCGTACTCTTAGAATTTACTAAGTCTAGTTCCTAAGACTATTTCAAGTAAACATACTTTATCATTCCATTATTAGTCCAACATCAAATCAAACGGAATGGTTGTGTGTGATGATCACCCGATGTGCAATAGTCTGTATGCAAATGCTATGCATGGACATCTATGTACAACCAACTATACTTATGCAATCATGATTTACGTGTGATGGTTGATGGTGCAACCCCCCCAAACTTGAGCCAAACATTGTCCTCGGTGTTGATTTTCATCGGGGGTGCAAGATGAGCATGTTAATTATGCAATCATATGAGTAAGGATCGAGTGATTGACCTTGTGGTAGTCGAGGTTAAACTTATCGTCATCCCCTTGTGATGTCGGTGTTTCCGCTTCTCGAGATTGCTTGTTAAATGATAGGCCAAAGGTTCATGCTGCAACTGATAGGTTTGCCCTGCTTGAAGCCATCTGTGAAGAAAAGAGAGGATAAAATTTTTACAGAAAAAGTGGGCTGGACGCCTGAAAAACTAGGCTATCACTAAGAAATTTTGATGCTCACATTATCCACAGAAAAGTCGAGCGGGTAGCTCAAAAAATCAAGCTACTGTCCGGAAAAAAAAATGATCTATGTTGAAAATCCTCAGAAAAATCAGGCTAGTAGCTAGAAAATCAAGCTCCAGCTCAAAATTTGCTCCCTTAAGTCTGTTCTCGTTTTCTGGGCGTTAGCTCAGTAAAACGGGCTGGTGGCCCATTTTTTCTGTTGAAAATCTACCCATTGTGCCTTCTTACAACCATCTACTGTTTCAATTTTTCAAACCACACTAACGCTATCGCAACTTTAAAAGTCCATCAAGAGATCACTGGATAAGAGCATAACATGCTTAAGAGTTCATCACCAAAAGAGAAGGTTCCATAACAAGTCTGCAAATCAAAAGATAGTGCGATAAGTCTAGATCAAAAGGGGGAATGGTCTTCGATGCTCTCATCCTTCATTCTTCGCTTTGATCAGCCATTTCAGTGTCGAATGCGTTCATGGGGTTGTATTCATTGCCCTCGGGTTCCGAAGTGTGTCCAGCTTGGTCGTTAAGGAGTTTCTGAACTTCTCGCATTATGTGGCGTTGAGAACGCTCGACTGCATCTGTGAGATTAGTCTCGATACTCATGAGCTTTTCTTGGAGAAGACCCTCAAGAGAGGAGAGTTTTTCGGTCAGGGTCTCGAGAGTAGCTGTGTTGACATCAATCTGTGTACGCACTGCTTCTACATTCTGGTTGAGGAGGTCAAGTTTGGCGTTATGGATATGAGCTCCATGTATTTCTATGCCTCCTCCTCCTCGGATCGACCTCGCTTGAGGAAGTCTAAGTGTATTGACGCTGAACATTGCTATCTCCTCGTGGGGAAGTTCCACAGACCTTTTAACTTCACTCGAATCTGCGAATATCCAA